AAAATACATAAAAAAAGAAAAAAAGGAGTTACCTGGGATTCTAGCAGTCCTCTGTTTCACTCAGCCACAATCCCTTCCGGTTTTTATAGCCAGTAGTTATGGCAATTTCTCTTCCTGGCACTGGAACCCTGGGTTGGAGGGCCTGGTGTGGGGCTGGTATCCCTTTCTCCTCAGGGGTGTTGGACCAGCCCAGCCCTTTCTGTGTCTCCATCCCTCCTATCAGTGTTGATGTGGCTTCTTTATATCCTTAGTTGTAGGACTTCTATATTTCAGGTGGTTTTGAATGGTGGTGGTTCTGTAGTTTAGTTGTAATTTTGAGGTGGTTGTGGGAAGGTGTCAGTACTGCCCAGCTTGCCCTTTGTGTTGATCTTATCACAATCTCTACATCTGAAGTCAGTGTTTCCTTTCTGGAATCATGTTTTCAGAATCTTTTACAATTTGAGTTACTTTTGCATTTTATAAGTGCCTTTTATTAAGATGGGCTCCTGAAATAAAGTATGATACATAATCTAGCCAGTGTGGACCAAATGAGGTAAATCCTCCCTTAATTTGGATTCTGAATTTATTTATTTTTTCCCCTCTTGGATGACAGGGACTCATGGCCTTTTCTCATCACTAATCCATTCAAGGATAGGGGGGAAAAAGCACCTGAATTTAACAACATTTGCTATCTCAGTTAAATTACTTACTAGTTTGGATTTTATCGCTTTGGGTTTGTAACTTTTTAGAAAGTCTTATACTTCATGACCATAGCTTTTAAATCTGAATGCTAGATTTTACTTTTATTTGCTTTTTAAAATATATTTGTATCAATTTCAGAGAGGGAGAGAGAAAAAGATCAATGATGAGAGAATCATTGGTTGGCTGCCTCCTGCATGCCCCACGCTGGGGATCAAGCCTGAAACCAGGTATATTCCCTGACTGGAATCAAACTGTGACCTCCTGACGCTCAATCACTGAGCCATTTCGGCTGGGCAGATTTTACTTTAAACCCATTACATTTCATCTTGCAAGGCTTGAATTATATCACTGAGCCATTTCGGCTGGGCAGATTTTACTTTAAACCCATTACATTTCATCTTGCAAGGCTTGAATTATATCACTGAGCCATTTCGGCTGGGCAGATTTTACTTTAAACCCATTACATTTCATCTTGCAAGGCTTGAATTATCCTTCCAAGTTTTCTGGGTCTTTCAAAATCATTATGTTGATCTATATTTTAATTATCCTTTCAGCTTTTCCTTTTTAAGTGTGCCCTCTGGGTCTCAGAATTAGTGATTACAAAACATTCAGTAGGGCAGGGCAGGTACGGGATCCAGACCCACAGCATGAAGGCATCCTTCTGTGATTGTTCATTGAAGACTCATTTATGGACATGCTTACGTTACGCCAGGCAATCCCGAGAGGTTCTAGGTTACAGAGAGAACTGATTAACATAGCCCCGTGGTCGGCAAACTGTGGCTAGTGAGCCACATACGGCTCTTTGGCCCCTTGAGTGTGGCTCTTCCACAAAATACCACATGCGGGCGCACATACAGTGCGATTGAAACTTTGTGGCCCATGCGCAGAAGTCAGTTTTTGGCCTGGGCGAGTCGATTTTGAAGAAGTACTGTTGATATTTGGCTCTGTTGACTAATGAGTTTGCCGACCACTGACATAGCCTCATAGACAGAAGGAGAGATCCCATTTCAGTGGGACAAACATGGGAAAGTCAGTAAACCTGTGATTAGGAGGGGTAATGAGGATTATATACAAAGGGTGATCAGTTACAGAGGAAGGTACTATTAGGATGTAGAGTCAGGAGTTTTCATAGTGGCAAGGAGACATCAGAAAGTTGACTCTGTGGATGCCTTGCTTAATCAGTTACAATTCTTTGTTAACATTTATGCATAAACAATTTCTTCCATGTGCTGTCTTTGTGCACGTGGTTGGTGGGTGGATAAGGGAAGGAAGAACTTTCTTCTGTATATAATCCTTATTACCCCTCACAGAGTAATTGGTTTTTTCGTTTGTCTCTCCCACTTAAATGAGATATCCTGTGAGTGCTGTTTCATTCATCTCTGTAACCTTGAATCTAAGTGCCTTGTGTAGTGTAAGCATCTACACTAATAAAAGAGAAAAATGGTAATTGGCGTACGACGCTACCCTTTTCATTGGCTAATCAGGGCTATATGCAAATTAACTGCCAACAAGATGTTAACTGCCAACCATATGTAGGCACAATGCAGGGAGGCAAAAGGGAAAGCAGGAAGAAGCCCCCTGCCACTGACAGTGATCAGAAACCCAGGGGAAAGC